GGTTAATTCACGATAAGCTAAACAAATTCGCCTAGAGTTTATATCTTCTCTTAAAACACAATGTTCCCATTTGTACCTACAAAATAAAAGAAACTTTAATATTTGTACAAATAATAAAATAAAATTCATAATTATTACATTCTATTTTATTCATTTTATTATATTTAGAATATTTTTTAAATATTTATAATATTTATATAATATTTAACTAAATATATTATTAATGTTTTAATTAAACATAACTAAATTGTTATGTAAATATTTAATAAAATAAAATTATAAATTATTAATCAAAATATATTTATAATCAAAATAATTATTTCATATAATGATATATAAATAACAAATAAACATCCCAAATAACAATATAAATATATATTTGAATATTATTTTAAAAGATATAAAATTTATTTACCTTGCAATACCATAAAGAACCATAAGAGATCCTTCTGGCATTGGGAGTCTTACAATAATATCTTCATTTTCATTTTTATTTTTTATATCAAATTTTAAGCTTTCAATTGTTGAGGAATATTCTATAATACTTTTTAAATTGTACTTTGTATCGGGACCATGATAAGAACTCATTGTTAAAACTGAATTACCCATGACATTAACGGTAACTATTCTTTCACCCCAAATCCAGCAATCATCAATATGTGGATCTATTGAAGCTCCTCGTACCGGATCATATTCTAAAGTACATTGTTCTACCGTTTGAAAATTATTAAGTATAGGAATTTCAGAAAATTTTTGTTGCACAAATTGAGTAGATTTTGGAAAACCATTGAAGGAACCCAACTGAAGTTTTCTCTTTTTGAAATTGCATTTTGGACCAAAATTCTAAATATTTTAAAATATTTTTAGAATTAATTGCTTTTAATTTTTTTATTAAAATTTTATTTATGTTTCAAAATATAAGAATGTAATAATTTTTGTAACAATAAATATTCTTAAATTATTTTTATGTAATACCTGTTTCCTTCTTCCACTTTGAGAAGCTTCCCAAGGTATTTTTTCAATTATATTGATCAATGAGTTAATTTCCCAAGGAGTTAAAAAGTCTAGCTTCATAAAAAAATAAATATAAAGAAATAATTATTAAAATATAAATTCTTAAGCATTATATATATTTAAAATATAATAAAAAAACTTATTATATAATAAATTGAAATTATTATTAATGCTATTTTTAAAGAAAAAAATATTTTTTATTAAATTTTTTTTGTAACAAGATTCTTTTCTTTTCTCTAATAATCATTTTTATTTTATAACTTGATAATTATAAATTAACTGATAATTATAATATACAATTATAAATTATAAATTAACTTGAAGAGCAAAATTATTTATACAATAATATAAATAAAAAATTAAATAATTAAAATTAGAAAAAAGGTATAATATGTAATATTATATGAATAAAATGAATAAATGAATACTTTTATATAAACACCAGAAAATTCTATAGCAGTTCCTTGGTGATTTGGATGATTTTTATAAAGATCAAAATTCCAACCAGGCCATGCTTTCTCACAATATGGACAGTATACATAACTAGAACATTTCTGAAATGTTATGATTTATAATAAGCAATATTATAAAAGAAAAATTTAAAATATTACAATGTACCAAATAGCAATAAAATATATACTGTTTGTTTAAATAAAATTTATTACATCTCCATTTTTATAAAAAAATATATAAAATTTGTATTAAATAAAAAACTAAAATATTAAAATTTACTCTATATTAGATAATCTAACCTCAAAACAAGCCTTTAGATTGGGTTTTACAATCTTATATTCCGTTTCACATAAAAGGCAAGATCTTATTCCTTTACAACCACAGGGTCGTATTGTTTCCATTTTTTATTTTAATAAATTTATATTAACGATATTAAAGATATACATTATAGCTTTGACAGAGAAAACATGAAACGATGAAAACATTCAATTGATATCCAATATGTTGTCTGTAATCATAAGCCAAAAGTATAAAAAGAGACAATAATGAGAAAAAGATAAAGATAAAATAAAAATTGGGAAATCAGCGCCATCTCTTGAGTGTCTCAAGTGAAACACAAATATAGACAAGAAGAGCAAATAGTAAAAAAAGGACAGAGATAGAGTGAAAATATTGAAATTAGTGCCTCTTCAGAGTGGCGTAAATTAAACACAAGAAAAGATAAAAAATAGTAAAAAAAAAAAGATAAAGATAAGGCAATAATTGATTACCAACGCCATCTTTTGACAAGAGACAATCAAAGATTATCTCTCAAAGACAATCTCTTCAAAAAATCATTTTTTTAAAATTATTCAAAATGACATTGACGATCAACTTTTATTCTATTTTTATTCTTTTTCTATTATTTTCTGTCCTTTTTTTTGTTCAATTTGTGACATTTTGGAGATAAAGCTATTTTCAATATTTTTATTTTATTTTTATCCTTCCTTGTTTTACTATTTGCTCTCTTTGTCTATATTTATGTTTCACTTGCACTCTAAAGATGGCGCTTATTCTCTAATTTTTATCTTATCTCCGTTCTTCGCTTTATTTTTCTTCATAAGTACATAAATACGTACATATATAATATTGACCTGTATCTTGCTGTATATATGAAAATGAAAGATAAAAATATCATTAAATAAAGATAAAAAAATAAACTAAATACGATAAATAAAAAAGTTACATCAGTAATAGAGAAAAACACGATTTAAAAATCATAAAAGTTTAATAATAATTATGCATTATGTATTTAAGAAATTCATTGTAAAAATGATTTTTTAACAATAATATTGACATAAATAAAAAATTTAAAGAAACTGCAAAACATCTTGATTTTTTTTTCAATTTAATTTATTAATCAGTATTTCTCTATGTACAAGACTGCATTTTCTAAATATTCCTTTCTATACAAGATAAAGGTCCATTTACTAATAAAATTGAATCTCACCATCAAACTCACTCAATACATTGCAATCAATTTTTTTTAACCGCAACAGATTAAAAAAAAGAGACGAAACAAAAGGAAAATCCAGATTACTATTTACAAAAATAATTGATCGATTAATTATTGGTCAATCTATCTTTAACAAACAAAATGCTCAATTACATAAGTAAATAATTACTCAAATTCAATTTTAAAGAAGTAAATTATTTTTTTTTATCGCCTTCATCAATACAGACGAAAATTATAAATCAGTCATTAATCGTCGATTCATTATTAATTATTTACAAGTTATTATTATTATATAAATAATCGATAAAGAAATAGAATATTTCATTTTGATCAATAATTAATCGACAATTACGGAATGACTAATTATTTAATTATCGATACTAAATGTTAAGTCTTTTATAAAAGACGAACAATAGTAACACAATTAATTAATTAATCTAAAACATAATAAATTTCTAATATAATTAAAAGAAATTAATACAATACAACTTAAAGCACCCTAAAAATTCTGTTTTTAAAAATTGTGCTCCGACTTATAAAATTCACTGCGATTTTCTTTTTTTTTTATATTAAGAATAATTATATTTCTTCATTGCAACCTATATCATTAGAATATCAATAAAGAAATTAATTTATTTTTATGATTTTCTATATGTGAAGTCATTTATATGCTTTTACGTGCATTATTGATGTTGCTTTTTTTGTTAACTTTCTCACTTTTTGAACATTTTAGCATTTGGACATTAAAATATAAATGAATATATATTAATAAAGTAAACACGTAAATTTGATACAAATCAATTTTTTTTCAAGTTTTAAATATTAAGCATCAAAATAATGATTTTTTTTAAATATTTTAATTAATATGAAATTAGATTAAAAAAAAAAAAAAAAAGAGTAATTTTACATATATAAAATTTCTTTTGTTACTTGAAACATAGACAAAATGATAAAATTACTGATAAAAATCATATTAAATGATGTATCATTTCATATCACATGATTGTAAATTCTAAGTCATTTTTAAATATTAATTACTACACCATATATTTTCTATACAATAAAAATTAATTCACATAATAGATCTTTCTATAATTCACATTTGGTTTTTATATGTTTATATATAAATTAATGATTTTAAATTAATTTTCCGCGCGCGCGCACACAAGCCTATAAATTGATCTTCACCAATAAACATTCAAAATAATTATTTATAAGATTTTTTGTTTTCCGACTATGTAATGCTATACAATATTTTTTGCGTAGGAATTACTACATAAAATTATTTAAAAAATAATCCAATCAATGTGAAACGATTATTTCATAAAAAAAAAAAAAATACATAAGTTGTAAATTTCTTTTTCAATTTTTAGACGTCGGAGCGTTGAGAAAATGTACATTTAAAAACATAACATGTACATAAATGTACATTTAATAACATATTTGTACACTTGGATACTTTATAATACTGGAATTTTAGAAGATAAACTAGTTTTATATAATATTTTTAAATTAAAGATTTAAAAAATTTTTAAATATAGATTTATATTTTAAACAATATAATATTTTAAATATTTTTCTGCATCCATGCAGAAATCTAGTATTAAAAATAAAACTTAGAAAAAGAAAAAAAAAAAGAAAGAAAAGATATTAGCTATTTTAGTAGGAATGTTAAATTAACATTTTAAAATATATGTGCCATTCGCACATGGATTATTTTACAAAACTGTAAATAAGTAAATAGTGTTAATTAATATTTTCATATAATATCATAATTTTTAAAAAAGAATAAAAAATTAATCGATTATAATCAGACTTTCAAATTTGATACAATATATATTGTATCTCTATAATACAAATATATATAATATAATATTTTCTTTTTTATAAAATATTATTTATAAAATAAAAGCATATTCAATTTATTTACAGTTTTACGTATGATTAACATTATGATAAATATATACGGTATTTTATTTTGTTTCCTTTTTTCTTAAATTAAAATTAAAATTTTCTATTTACCTTGATTATCCGAAAATAGTTATGTAAATAGAAAAATTTATATAAATTTCATTTATAATTTTTATCAATTTTTTTTTTATAAAACAAATTTAATGCAAATGAAACGAAATAAATTGTCCATTTTATCACCGCTCCGACAATTTTTTTTATATTCTGTTAAGAATTCATCTGATTTTTCTTAATGTTATTTACTTAATGCACAACAAACAATGATTTCAAAGTAAACCACCCTTTCGTCCAAAAAGAATTGCGCTAATAGTTCCCAAAGCGGATTGCGCAGGAGATTCTTTTGTAACCGTAACAGGAATCGCAGGTGTAACTTGTCCAAGATCAGGTCTCATAGCTCTAGCACCAGTTCTTCTTTGTCTATTTGATTCCCTGCTTGACGTAGATTCATCTTGTTTCTTGTCAATTATTTTTCGTTTTGTTGACAAAGAATTACTAGCCGTGGAAGAAGGAGAAAGTTTTTCTTGGCTTCCACTTGAAGACATGGAGCTTTTTAAGAAAGTTAATTGAGCCATAGGACTTTCGGTAGTACGTCTGGTATATAAAGAACCTTGTAACACTAATGGAGATATAGAAGAACCAATCGTTGTAGATGACATTATGGTGTCAATGCCTATTCTTTCAAGTTTTTCAACTAAACGAATACTAGTAAGAGCCTTTTTGTCTGATCTAGATAATACGGTTCGTTTTCTCTTTGTCTGTTAACAAAAAATATTAAGCATCAAAATAAATGATATTAAAATAAATTAAATTTATAAATTAATATTATTTGTATATTAATACTTTTAAATAATAATTTTTTAGGAATAAAATTAGAATTTTAAAAATGAATATATGAAAAACATTCCCAAAAAATAATATTTTAAAAAAAGATTCATTATAATGCAAGTAATTAATTATTTTATATGTAACTATAATCAAAATAAAGTAAAATATAAAATTTTTTCATTTATAAATATTTTAATATACCTCAGTCTCGCCACCAAATGTTCTCTTCAATAATTCAGCTCCACTAGATAATAATCCTAAAGAAAGTCCACTTTCTGGAGTTGGTGAATCGGATCGACTTTCTGGAGGACTAGCATCAGGACTATTACAAGGTGTTGCAGTAGGTGTAAAATTCCTTTCTCCACTTGGAGTTAATGCAGAAGAAGGTGTAACAGCTTTTATACCTATTTTAATACATTGATTAATTTATTTTTATTATTAATTTGATTATGACAAAGAATATAATATTTTTATAAATTAAATGAAAGAGAGAGTGAATTTTCAATTTTAAACAATAAATACCTCTTTCATTCAACATCTTTGCAAGTCCAAGAGTTGTTGAAAATGTTGAAGTCGAATTCCTTCTACTTAACGTTCTTGGAGTGCTCATACCAGAATTCAAAGCACTACTAGGTGCAGTTGCAACTCTACTACCCACAATACTTGGAGTGACACTTGTATGATCATCAGGGTGGAGAACTGTACTATTGGTAAATGTATAAACGGAACCTGTATCTTGAAAGAGTTTTCCAGGATTAGTGTATTCTTCATCTTCTTCGAGGTCGCTTAAAGTAAAAGTAACTAGGCCTAAATCTTCCAGGCCACGACCTCCTCGTGTTTTTACTCCTGGTCGTTCTTCTAAAAGACCACCTTAAAATAAAATTATAATTTGATTTTTAAGTTCAGATTTTTTATTTATATTTAAAAATAGTTATATTTGATAAAGTGTAATTTACATATATATACATATAAAACTACAAACTAAATTGATAAAATAAAAAATAAAAGATTATTACCTAACGTAGGTGTGGCTAACTGAGTCCAATGATGCAAAGTTTGTGAACCTTCAATAGGTTTCACTATCTGTAATTTCTCAGGTATTCTCCAAGCATTTCCACCATAACCACTTATATTTCCGCTACTTCCCGTAGACATAATACTATCTGGAGTTCTACAACCAAGAGGTACGAAGGTGGAAGGTGAATGAGCTCCTGCATCATAGTCATAAGTATATCCTGTACCAGTGCTAAGACAAGCGCGCCTCGTAAGAACTTCTGCAGGCGTTAATCTACGAAGAGCTGCCTCCAAATCTGCTGCAC